GACAACGAGATGGAACATAGATTCACCATATGGTGTTATAGCAGCCATGAATCCAAACAAATTCAAAATCCACTTGAACACTCGCAGAAATCAACAGAAGAAAACGAGGAAGAAACCAACAGCCAAAATAGGATAACCAACTAAGAAGAAATCAGTAAACCCAATGGCACATATTAATTTAACTCATAATGAATCAGATTAAGTGAAGGGAGAAGAAATGAAAATGTTAATTCGAAATTCTTTCAATAATAACAGAAGATTACAATGTTTTGCTCCAAAATTCCCACTGAAAACATCAGCAATATCGGCAGAAATCGCAAGCCAAATCCAAATCGCGAAAACTCGGACAGAACTCAAAACGGCACCGAAATTCCGAACCCAAACGCAAACTCCAACTTAAACTTCAATCAAACTCCATTTTAACACACAAAAAATTCGAAAATGGAAACAGAGGAAACAGACCCCCTTCTTTTTATATTTTTCTGATATCCAAATAAAAGAAAAACTGAAGAGATTTGTATATTTTTTCAAGAGATAGACTAGAATTTTTAGAAGGAAAATATTGAAACTCCACTAACCCTAGAACTTTACCCCTCAAAAATCTCTCCGAAAATTTGTCTAGCCTTTTCTTCCAAAATTCCTCTAATTATCAGGCAAAAACCTGATGAATGAAGGGCTGGGATCAATTGAAATCGATCCCACGCTCCCCATTCATCCAGCATATGCCTTCTAGAGGCTTCCAACACGTGAGAAGAGAGGTGAGGATGAGAGAATCTGTCAGGAACAGTTAGCATCTTGATGACGTGGTGAGATGGGGGGTGTGTGCGAGTGAACTCGCCTGAGTTTCTGGCGAGCTGGGGCTGGTTCGGACGAGGCAGATGAAGGAGAAATGAGAGAATGCGCCATTTTTGGTCTCTAGGTTTAGGTTTTTTTTTTTTTAATGTTAAGCTTATATTTGGGGAAGTGGGGCGGGTCAAACTCGATCTGGGCTGGGCGGTTTTATGTTAGGGATTGGGCTAATGGTGGTTTGGGTGGAGAATTGGGCTTCAGAACTTTCCCTTGGGCCAATTTCGGGCTTAATCAAGGTTTCCCCTTTTTGTTATTTGTTTTTTCATCTTTTTTCTTGACTTTAAACTAATAAATTAATTAAAATCCTAAACTAAAATCTAATTTGTAAAATCATATTAATTATTTATTTAAAACATAAACATAATTAATTAACTTAAAGCTAACGCAAAGAAATTACTAATTTGGAAACTAAAAGCGTAATAATAACCAATATTTTGAATTTTTTATTTAATAATGCAATTAATTAACAACTTAAATCTAAAAATGCAAGTATCAACCTAAAAAATGCAATGCATGAAATTTGAATATTTTTAAGGTATTTCCCATGATTTTTTAAAATATTAAATATACACTAAAACGTAACTAAATGCAAACAATTACCGAACAATTACTATAAATCTAAAATAATAAACACTCAAAAGCAAAATCCATTTGTGACTTTGTAGGAATATTATTATTCGGGCAAAAATCACGTGCTCACACCTTCTAGAAATATCCAATGCAAATCCGGGCATACGCCCGAGTCCAAAATCACCATCCAGACCTAATAGAACTATCAAAACTACGTTCCGGGGTCAAATTCACAAAAATCAAACTTGGTCAACTCTTTCAACTTAAAGTGTCAATAATGAAATTCATTCTTCCAAACCAATTGCGAATAACATGAAAACCAAAACCGACTATTCACATAAGTCATAATACATTATACAGAGCTACTTATGCCCGTAAACTACCGAGCGAATTGGAAAAGCTCAAGATGACCAGTCGGGTTATTATAAATTATAAGTTATGTAGGAAACAAGTAGAGACAAGTAACAAAATAAGTGTAGAATCAAGGAAGAGATAGGCAATTTAATATATGCAATGTTAAAAAGCAAGTAGCAATTATGACACAAAAGCCAATTAAGCATATAGCAATTAGGGCATGGATTCAAGGCATAATATTAAGCAATGGAGATAAGAGAATCAAATATTAGAACAATTAAGTCATGGAATAAAGCAATTTATGAAATACGGATAAACACGGAAACAAGAAATTTGACGACGTATAGACACTCGTCACCTCGCCTATACGCCGTGACACATGAAATTCACGTAACACAAAGTTCAAGGGTTCCATTCCTTCAAGTCAAGGTTAACCACAACAATTACCTTGCTTCGCAACTCAAGTGATCACTTGACTATGACCTTTCCTTTCGAATTAGTCTCCAAACCAATCAAACCTAGCAATTTATTTGCCAAAAAAATCAATTTGAGCTTTAGAAATTACTCAAAATTCGAGAGAAACTTAATTTGAATCATTTTCGGAAAAGTCACTGAAAGTCAACATGGGTCTCACTTTCTGGAACCCAATAAAAGTTTACAGATTCCGAACATCCGTTCCAATATGAGTTCAACCGTACAAAAATTATCGAATTCTGACATCGAATCGCCTTTCAATTCTTTGTTTTATATTTTTGGAAGAGTTTACAAAAATCTCATTTTCTTCAATTAAATTCACTAATTAATGATGTAAATAGGCATGGAATCAAGAAGTATAATCAATTTAGGATAAGGAACACTTACCTAGTTTGAACTCGTGAAAAATCCCTCTGAAATCGCCCAAATCTGAGACTTAAAACTCAAAAATGACCAAAAATGTCGGACTCCCAATTTTATGCATTATGTCCAGAATTTATCTTTTGCGGACAAGAATTTCACATATGCGAACTCGCATTTGCGAAGCCAACTTGCCAGGCCAAATTCCGCACCTGCGGAATTCCAGTCGCTCGCGACTGTGCAGAAGCGATGATGAAACCGCAGAAGCGACGAGTTGCGCATTTGTGATCCTTGCACCGTACAAGCGGGCATCGAACCTGCGCTCCAAGCTTCGCAAAAGCGAAGCTTCTTCCCTGGCCTCAAGGTCGCAGAAGCGATACTGTCTTCGCAGAAGCGGCTCCGCATTTGCACTCCAAAATGCACAGATGCGAGACACCATAACAAGACTTGAAATTTCGACCAAAAATGATCTGAAACTCGTCTGAAACTCTCCCAAGCCCTTTGGGACTTCGTCCGAATATTCCAACAAGTCCCGTAACATAATAAGGACATATGAGTTTATGAAATATACAATTCTATAACTCATGTCGAAATATGTCAAATCAATTCGGAATAACCTCAAATTTTTCAGGTAAGTCCCAAATGACATAACAAAACTATTCCACCTCTCGAAAATCTCAATCCGAGTTTGATATAATAAAGTCAAATTTACGGTCAAACTTTGGAAATCTTTAACCTTTAGATTTCTAGTTTCCGTCAAATGGCGATAATTCGAGCTAGGGACTTCCGAATTTAATTCCGGGCATACGCCCAAGTCTCAAATCACGATATGGACCTACATGGACCATCAAAATACTGATTCGGACCCGTTTGCTCAAAATATTGACCGAAGTCAACTCAAATAAATTTTGAAGCACTATTTCACATTTTAATCAATTTTTCACATAAAATTTTTCCGAAAAAAGATACGGCCTGTGCAGGCAAGTCGAGGAATGCTGAATGGTCTTCAAGGTTTTAGAACACATAAATGAATGTTTAAAATTAAAAATGACCTATCGGCTCATCACAATGAATAAGATGAGATTCATATTAGGTACGTGAGCAAATAGAATTTATTTTTTTAAGGCCATGAAGAACATAGTATTGTTGCATGATATTTAAGTATAAGTCAATATATTATTCTACATAAAGAAAAAGCACAAATCATATATTGAAGTTATAATAATGCATTAAATACTTTTGTATGACATAGCTTTTTACCTTCTTAAGTTAGCTAAATATGATCAATATTAATTATTTTCAAGAGCTTGTGCTTTTTTAAAATCTACTATTTATAACTAAATTACATAGTTTAATAATATTTGTGCGATTTTTAAAATTTTATACTCATTGAGATAAAGTGTACGCACAATGCGCATATCCTAAAACTAGGTCATTGGTACGTTTATAATCTCATCATAGTATTTTGCATATAATTATATACTAAAAAGTTTACAACTTATTAACTATTAAGTGAGCAGTTTTATGGGGTGAGTTCTTCATTGCTAAGTTTATGATCAAACATTCATTATTTTAGTAAACTTATACTTTTATTACATAACTTAAACTTAAATTCAATAGAATATTCAAGAGATTTTAAAAAAAATCATTCAATGAGACATGGGTACACGCGCAACGCACGTACACTAAAACTAGTAACCACACAAATACTATGAAATGTTTATAATTACAAGTTTCAAGAGTTCCTTTCTTTCCTAATCTATATACTCAGTCAAAATGGGAGCCTTGGCGTAATTGGTAAAGTTGCTGCCATGTGACCAGGAGGTCACAAGTTTGAGCCGTGGAAATAACATTTTGTAGAAATGTCAGGTAAGGTTGCGTACAATAGACCCTTGTGGTCTGGCCCTTCCCCAGATCCCGTGCATAGCTGGAGCTTAGTGCGTTGGGTTGCCTTTTTATACTGGAGTAGTGTTGCATTTATCATCAAATTTCTCAATGTACACTTGAGAGTACTCTCTGCTTGGCAGATTTCTTACTCATTCTGGTTTACTTGTTAGCATTGAAGGGGCTTTGGGATTGCGAATATGAAGGTTATGGAAAATCTTTGGTTTGCTATCCTTGATGAATGATGCAGTGTAGGCAAATCTTTAAATTATCTCAATATAGAAAATGTTAGGTCAATAGCATAACTAACGCTACCATGATGCTACACTGAGCGCTTGCACTAACATAACTTGCAAACAACTTTGAATGTTAAGTAGCATAACTAAAGTGGTCAAATAAAACTTTATGTCAAGCAATTAGCAAACTAGTTAATCCAGAGAGGAAAAATGGCAGAAACAATTTTTGTTTGGATCTAGATAAACCAAGGAAGATAGACATAATGCTTTCACAAAAAATCAAACAACTAAAAAGCTTGAAACTAAAGAGACAGATTTTCTTGACAAGAACTCGTTAGGTTTCAGTAATTAATATCTTTTCCTTTTCTTTTGAAATGAATCATAAAAACTCTTACCTAAAACAAATATAAAGAGGGCAAGCGATAAAGAGCAAATGACACAGATAAATACAGCTAGGCCTGTAGAAGGTAGCACAACATACAAGCCAGTCATAAACGCTATCATCATTGCTAGCATGGCAACCAAGGCAAGGACGCCAGCAGCTACATAACGACTCAAGCTTTTGTTCTCTTCCTCGTAAGTTGCAAGGTAATGCAGAAAAACAGCAGCTGTGGAAGATATCATGGCAATGGTATCTGTTACTGCGAATGCTTTGAACGCTGTTTTCTTGGATATGACTGCCATGCCTTTATTTGGACCATCATCACCGTCGTAACCACCAGGAATTGTGAAGCCAGCCGCGAAAGAAACCGTTAATATAAGTGTAACAACTATCAAATGTGTGTTTGCTCTATTTTTCCATACTTCCATGCGTCCTTTGAACCACTTCTCATAAGATTCTTTCTGAAAATAGAGTTAAAAATATCTAATTATTTTATCTCAAATCTTAAGTATATCTCAATTGTGGTTTAAAAAAAACTGCCATTTTTGTGTTGTAAACTAACTCATAAGTGTTTTTAATATGAAAAGACCAAAAAAGAGACTTGAATAAACAAATATTTACCCATCTGACATTGTTGCGATCTAATTCTTCCCAGTAAGGGTGAGACTGAAACGACACGCTTTTTCCTATAACCTTTTCGGGCACATTCCCGTCAGCGTCTCTTTGAACAAAGATGTTATTGTTCCAGTGTTGATCTTCGAATAATGTTATCATTTTCCAATGTTCCTTCGCATATGCAATGTGAAGAACATTTTGGCCTTGGCTAGTGACTGCGTCCAAGGAATCTGGACACTGCTCTATAATCTCTTCCACGGCCTGTATTTTATTATTGATGACCGCTAAATGCAGAGGTGTTTTATTTTCTTCTTTAATAGTTCCATAAGCCATATGTTTATCCGCCATTAATAATGTCCTCACTGATAGTTTAAACCCTACGTAAGCCGCGAAATGGAGAGGATTCCACCCAAAATCATCTACTTGCTTTGTTAGACTTGGTTCTTTTCTTAGTATCATTTCCATGCATTCTATCCAAAGGAAATATCCTAGTTAGTAAGGGCATCACTCTAACAAATGTGAAATAATGGGGAAAAATATAGTTATAGAATATTTAGAAGAGAAACAATTTCTTTATCTCTGCTTTCTTTTTCCTTTATGTTTATTTTTAATTTATTGTAGACATCACCAATGTTTTTAATATCTACTTGACATTAGCAAAATAAATTAAGACAGAGGGAGTATAAAATATCAGAAAAGAGAAAGTCCAAGTATATATTTCAATTCTCAAGAAAAATGTCATCCCTCCTCTTTGCCAAGGCTAACAATAATTTATGAATTCCATACAAATAAGAATCACATAAATTATATACTCCTTGTTGGAGAACTTGTATTGATCTTCCTGATCTACAAAGACAATATCCTTTATGATGACATCCAGAGCTTGATTTTAAGTGGAAAGTGGGGTTGGGGGGTTGGG